AATAATAATAATATCTCTACTCCTCATTCTAACTACGAGAATTAGCCCAGAAGTCGGAGACTTGTGCGGGAGAGGAGGCGGCATATTATTATTACGCAGGCCGCATTTGCGCCCAGGAACGACTTATGTTGGTAGGCCCTAACCACCATTCAGTGCAAGAATGAGGGAAACCTGGAAAACCTCATTAATTAGGGGGGTGGTCAAATGCCAACCGGTGTCAATCTCTCACATTGACCCAAGCCAACATTCTTCCACCCTACCATACCTGCACAGAGGGTGCCAATCCTCCGTACAAGCATAGCTAATCTACGGTCTACCGGCCGCGGGAATCGAACCCAAATGCCACTAGTCTTCCGAATTTAGAAATTTCAATGTTCTTGTAAACTCTCAAAGTTGACTTGAACATGGAATATTTAGCCCACAACGTGGATGGAGCTAATTTCTCACTTAAATTGAAAAAATAAGCCTACACGACATCTTCATTTACACCTTTCACCTATTCTTTGATTTTCCAATCTTGAAATTCCTTCAGTTCTTTTTTGTATATAGATTTTGATTTCTCCGGAGTGATGCTTGCAGCAGCCGCATTCGATTTTTCTAAAATTTCAGTTGGAATTTCCATGTTTTCCATTTTTTCAGTCTTTGTTTTAGGATTTCAACGTGACTTCAACTCAAAAAATATTGTTTGTTTACTGACAACCCTTGGTTACAGACACAATTTAGGTTAACACTCGCATCCTTTGTAATATTTAATAATACATTCATTTCGTTAAATTACTTTTTCTGATATTGATAACTTGAAATTTTAAGTTACTTTTATTTATTATTAAAACGAAATTCTATGAAAGTGTTGGATAAAATTTTGTATGGCACTCGTGTGTTACGTCATATAAGTCACTTGGGAAAATTAGCCCTCTCGGCCTATGGCCTCGAGGGCTAAACATTTCCCAGCGTGACTTATATACGAGTATATCGTAACACACTAGTTCCATAAATAACTATTATTTAAAACATTTTTGAGGTACAAGGTTTTTTTCGCATTATAAAAAAAATTTACTTTGACAAAACGAATTTTAAATTGTTTTCCATTTTCACAGTAGGTAGTACAGAAACATTCGAGAAAATGGCGAATGCGCCAAGAATAATTATGTATTTTGTAATACCTATATTTAATGTCATTTAGCTAATGTTTAAAAATAAACAAATTTAGGAATAGTTTCGATTAACTTCCTAATTCCCAAAGAACAAATATTCTTTTGACAAATCCGACGATTAGAGTAAAAAAAAACAATTCAATGTTTTTTTAAGTTTAGAATTAAATTTGTTACATATCTATTTATATTTTTCGATCGGTCAATTTATTCTCAAGCAAAATAGTATTATCTCTTTTTATGTTCACACCAGGTGATTAAAACTTTCGTTTTTCATCCTCGTTGCAAAACAAGGAACAGATGCCTTTGCATAAATATTTTTACACAAATGTTGTCATGTTACGGCCAATAAATAGTATTTACATATGGACTAAGGATGACCATATCTTGGTAAGGCACATTCATCTACATTCATTTTGAAGAAAATGAACGAAAGTAAATAATCTAAACATTTCCCAATGTGACTTGAATTTTTTAATAACTTTTGCTACCGCATTTAACTATTACATTTGTAAGTATTCTAATCTATTTCATAAGGAATATACATTAAAATATTTTAGTTTTAAAACTTGGAAACCAAACATATGTTCAATGTTCATATAATGTTTTTATTGTAAGCTATATGTTCAATTGCCAAAGTTTGAAACGATGTTAGCGAATAAATCTGTATAATAGAATAAAAAATTATTTTTCTACAAAACTGTTAAAAGTGGGCTTTTTAATTGTCATTTTTGATGTTAAAAATGTCATTTTTTGACACGCGTGTTAAAAGTAAGTTACTTTTAACACTTGTTAAAAGTGATTTTATTTTGTGAGTGAAGATGATTAAAAAACGAGCGTAGCGAGTTTTTTAACTTACTTTTAACACGTACATCATAAATAGCTATTTCTGTTGGACTTAATAAAAATTGGAAGCGGAACTCATATTCCATGCGTTTTTATACCCAGATCAATTTTTTTATCCTCGCCCACAAACTTGTTTTTTTTTTAAATGGACAATTTAATTCATTAACTGAATTTGTGGATTATGACATTCTATGCAATTTTTGGTGAAAACAAAATTAATAAAATTGAAATTTATTACTTCTCTGAATTGAAAATTTTAATTCGTTGATCAAATTTGAGGATAACTAAATTGTAAGTACATACTTTTTTGTAGAAACATTTTGTTTTTCATTTGAAAGAGTGTTAATGAAAGTTCTATGGGATCAAATGGGATTAGCGGACATCTCATTAAAACAGGCACTCTCACGTCAAAGCGTTAAGCCTTGTTGACTTTTTTCACAATTAGTGGACAGGCGACTTGATTACGAAATTGCGTAGGATTTAAAAGCAGCAAAACTATGGTTATTTAAGTGAATTTTATAAGATACTTGTATTAGATATTTCTTCAAAAATTATAATTTCTTAAGAAGAGTTTTTAACATTGTTTATGATTAAGGAGGTTCTGTAGATATCACGAAAGAAGTTTTCAAATACATTAGTTTTCATTTTGAAGCGGCTTGAATTGTTTTTCTTAGAAGCAAAAGTACGAGCTTCTAGAAATGCACAAATTATTATTATTATTCACCAAGATAATACAAAAGTTTGCAATACATGAAGAGCAACATAAATAGCTTTTCTAGAAGCGGTGAATTATTCTGTTAATCTTTTCGTTTCCGCAATTGATGAATGCTTGAAAGAAATGAAAGTGATATAAATTGAAAAACAAATAAATTAGAAGTTAGTAAAGAACTAGACCAGATGGGTTACAAGAAATTTTGTAGACAATCTTTGACATTAGCTTTGTCTGGTATGTAGTAAATTAGTTGAAGGCTCATTAAAATGGAAAATACAACGTCCAAACATTTTGTAATGTTTTATGTTTATTTCTATTTGATACGTATGTCAATTTTTACTTGACTTTAGTTAGAACCAAAAATATGTATCACATTCTGAAGACTAATTTGAAAGATTAGAATTAGAATTACACAACTGGGTATACCAAAACGATACTCTCAACCCAATATTGTTTTAGAGATTTGACCTACTGAAGAAAAGCGTAATGGAAGGTGTCAAACTAATATGGTCTGTTTGCGTACCAGATTCTTGCCATTTTGAAGACGTGTTCCCGCATTTTAACAAAAGCATTGCGGAATTAACTGAAGGATTGGACCTAGTTGTGACTTTAAAGAAAGAATATTGTATTTCACTGGATGATGAGCCAAAATTGGACACTCCTGGATACATAGCTATGTATGCACTAAAGTAGCTCCATTATACAATTATTTAAAAACTGCTTTTGTAGATTTATTATTGGGCTGATAATACTAACAGTTGCTATTTCGACTATAATAGATGCAATAAGTGAAGGTAATGTATACTAATTTAGTGTTGCATTATTTAGATTACTTTAGCTAAACAATTCATATATAATATATACTGTTCCTAAACTCAATATTAATTTGTAAAGCATGAATTTGGATAAATAACAGTATTAGTATCACGATTGAACGAATATTCCTTGAAAACACACTTTGTTTCTTTTTAGTAATATATCTATAAAGGACTGTCATAAAAAGATCCAGCCCTGGTTCAAATTGATCCTCTGTTGTAATCTATTGTAATAGTAAGGTTCGGAGATGCAGCTCGTAACAAAGTCGTACTCGGTTCATTCTCCCAGTTTTGATTTAATTTTTTCTTTACCAACGGTGTTAATTGCAGTCAGTTGACGATATTTCAATTATGTTTTGATAGATGTCGCGAACGTTATAAGGATATATTGTTATATAGCATAAGTATAGCATAATTTGACACGAAAAAGGTGTGGATTACAGAATTAAGTTAAATGAAGGATATTTTTGTATATAAATTAAGTTTGTAGTGATGTAAGTATTAAATTTGCTCGATAAACGTCTCAACTGCGAAAATTGCGACAAAAATTGAATTTGCACATTCAATAACTATTAAGATGCACTCATGTATCAAAAAATGTTAGAAATAATACTAAAGAACCATTTTGTAATGTTAAATATCAAGTAAATGTCCAGGCATGAGCACATTTAAAAAATATCAGAATTTTGACAAATTATCCACGGAAGGTAAAGGTGTTTTACACATAAAGCAGTGACATGCAATAAACCTCGTATATAAGCAAAGTACAGCATACCTGTTATCAGTAATTATGTGTAGAATTAAACCTGAGCTACTGTAAAAGGTTTCATGTATCATTTAAATGTTGACATTCTGTTGTTTCGTTAAAATTTGTAAATTTGTAGTTTTATAAGTGTTGTAGTACTGCAAAATAGTATGTACAGAGTGTAAAAGACCTTCATAACTTCATAAACTGTATTTACACTCCAACCAAAGTTCAAATTTCTGTGTAGATTTTAAGTTTTCGGTGTATGGGGGAACCTAGAAATTTTCATTCGTTTAGTTTTAAAAAACATGTAAATACTGTTTAAGATGTGAAAGAGAGGTAGTAGTAAAGACATTCAATGGACAGACATGCAGAGAATTAAGCTGTGTATCGAAATTTAGCTACAATTTGCAAAAATAAATTTTGGTCATAATTTAAACGTTAACCTGGAAACATGCTACTGGGTATCAAAAAATGTAAATAAATTCAAAGAATCGGAATATGTGAACATCATGCAGCATAAATCATGCTAAAAGTCAATAGTTTGAATAATAAAATTTCATAAATGTTTGGGTGACATTCCTATGGAAACGGTTCTTTTATTTTAACGACAATAAAACCAAATGCTGGTCTTATCGCAGCCAGTCTTCCATAAATTCTTGAAGCAACAACATGTGGAGAAATGCCACTAACAGCTATAAATGTCAAAAGTCCGAATCGCACATTTCACTGAAATTCCATAAGTCTGAAAATTTATCGAGATCTACAATCAGTAAATAAAAGTGCAATACTAAAGAACTGGTCATAAATTAATAAAAAGTAAATAAGTGCGACTTAACAAAAATAAAGTGTAGTACATCTTCAATTGGAATTATCCTGTTAGAGTACGTTCAGAACGAGCTTACGGATTTCATCGTGGGATTCTACCACCAAGGCTACCAGGATCGCACCGAAATTCTATATAGGAGATACAACCAATGCTACAAGACAACGCATCGTAAGTTGTAGATACTCGCATTGGCCAATTTAAATGTGTGTTTAAATTTAAATGACTTCGCATTCAAATCGAAATAAAATTAAATTCGTAAAAATTGTTGTACATATGCATATGGCATAACAAATATTTCATTTTTGAAACATTGGCATGTCTGCAGTATAGAAAACATAGCATAGCACTTTAACATTAGATTTAAGGGGGGGACATTTCATGTTATCATTTATTTAGATTTAGTATAAAAAAATTGTCAATTATAACTTCAACTACAAACCAAAAGTGTAATATATCTATAATTGTCAAGTTTAAAGATATCTTTCATTTGAAATAAGTTTAAGCAAGTCATAAAAATAAACTCGCCCTGAAATTGAGTTGGTCTACTACTATAAAAAAATTTCAAAAATCAAAATATAAAAACATTCAAACTTAATAATCTTATAAAGGCGTCCATAACATAAAATAACAAAATTAAAATAACAAAAATAAAAATTAAAGAACATTCAAATCATAATAATATGTATTCGANTTGCAGTCAGTTGACGATATTTCAATCATGTTTTGATAGATGTCGTGAACGTTATAAGGATATACTGTTATATAGCATAAGTATAGCATAATTTGACACGAAAAGGGTGTGGATTACAGAATTAAGTTAAATGAAGGATATTTTTGTATATAAATTAAGTTTGTAATGATGTAAGTATTAAATTTGCTCGTTAAACGTATCAACTGCCAAAATTGTGACAAAAATTGAATTTGTACATTCAATAACTTTTAAAATGCACTCATGTATCACAAAAATGTTAGAAAAATATTAAAGAAACATTTTGTAATGTTCTATGTGTGTATGTGCGTATGTTGTAATGTAATAAATGTTGACATTTTGTTGTTCCATTAAAATTATTGTGTAGACTTTAAAAGATCTCGGTGAATCAGGGAACCTAGACATTTTCATTCGTTTAATTTCAAAAAACAGGCAAAGACTGTTTAAGATATGAAAAAGAGGTAGTAGTAAAATCATTCAATGGACAGACATGCAGAGAATTAAGCTGTATATCGAAATTTAGCTACAATTTGCAAATATAAGTAAAATTTGGTCATAATTTAAAAGTTAATCTAGAAACATGCTGCTGGTATCAAGAAATGTAAATAAATTCAAGGAATTGGAATACGTAAACATCATGCAACATAGAACATGTTAAAAGTCGATAATTTGAAAAATAAAATTTCATAAATGTTTGGGTGACATTCCTATGGAAACGGTTCTTTTGTTTTAATGGCAATAATACCAAATGCGTTTTCATCGCAACTAGTTTTCCATCAATTCTTGAAGCAACAACATCGTCAATTTGTTCCTAAAATAAACAATTGAAAATCAATATAAATCAATAAGTTTGTGAAAAAGTTTACCTATCCAGTCATTCATGTGGAGAAATGTCACTGACAGCTATAAGTGTCAAAATTCCGAATCATACAATTCACTGAAATGCCATAAGTCTGAAAATTCATCGAATTCTACAATCAGTAAATAAAAGTGCAACACTAAAGAATTGGTCATAAATTAATAAAAAGTGAATAAGTGCGACTTAATAAAAATAAAGTGTAGTGCATCTTAGATTGGAATTATCCTGATGTGCGACCAGAACGAGCTTCCGGATTTAATAGTGTGATTCTATCACCAAGACAAACTTTGAATTCAAATCGAAAAATAATTAAAGTCGTAAAAATTGTTGCACATATGCATATGACAAAACAAAAATTTCATTTTTGAAACATTGACATGTCTGCAGTACTTCTAGAAAACATAGCATAGCACTATAACATTAGATTTAAGGGGGGAAATTTCATGTTATCATTTATAAAAACATTCAAATCATAATAATATGTATTCGAAAAATTTTTAGTTCAATAGAAAAAAGAAATAGAAATATTTAATAATTTAATTCGACTTAAAATATTTATACTACACAATATACAACGTTGATATAAAAAGCATTTTAGATTTACAATAATGTGAATACAAGTTTCAGAAAACAATATCCAAATTGTAGTTGGTACATGACAGAGGTTACCACTTAATATATTGATAAGAGTATGCCTATATTTTATGCCTCACCAGCTTCTCATACTGTCAAGTACTTACTAAGTCACAAAAAGGTTTAAATTTCATTCCAAAAGATTTGGAATAGCAGTTAATAATATCTTTTGTATATAGCTGTATATGTGACACTAGAACCTTGCCTGAACTTTATTGGAATTCATTTTACGTATTTACTTAACTTTATTATTTTCATTGTTAATATTATTGTGTTGCGACACGTTTTCTGTAAATATCTTCATATTTGCAGTCCAGTTCTGTTAAGAGCCACGTGCTCCCAAACTTTATAAATAAAATATAATTATTTCCTATTTATTAAATCTGTATCTAGATAATACTTTCGAATTATTCGTGGTATATAGATAAAAATGAATCTATTTTTTAGCAACATACTATAGAGTAAAAGTTGTTATGGTTTGAAAGATTTTACGCCATTAAAGATAAAAATATAATATTTATAAAATGCATCTCTCTGTTCTGATTACGAAGTCTACATCCACTAATTTATATTATAGCATAAAATTATACAGTAACTTTCTTTATGAGGTGTTGCCTTTTATAAAATTAATCTCGCAATTAATGCCAAGAATAAATATTCAAAATTTTCCCGAGCTAATTTTTCACTCATATTCTAATAAATCATTGGAAAAATTTAAAGCACCCTTGAGATTGTGGGCGTGGATAATGTCATTTACAGTAGACTAAAATATTGTTGGTTTGTATTTGACAAAAATTTAACGACCGCAGTATGGAAGCAACTGTCGTTAAATTTTATTCATATTTTTTCGCGAAACACATAAAATCGTGACTGGTAGCGTTACAGAACTGACGTAATGCAAGAGTAATGATGCGTTTCATGATGAATTTCAGCAGGCAACCTCATCAATTATTTATAATCCGATTTTTGTAAATGCTTTCTTGTAGCTACTTAATTTAATAATATAAACAATAGCGATGTACAGGGTCATCACAAGACATTTGGCTGTCTCTGAAGACGTCGGAAAAATAAAGAAAACATTGTTCGTCATCAAGTTTTCAACAGAAACATATTATCTTTATCAAAAAAAAGTTGGGCATCACTTTCCACAGGTATAAATAACAATTTTGTTTCTTTTATTCTTTGTTGTTTATAAACCTACCTATTTAGTTTTTGGGCATTTTTTTTTCAAACTGATAATAAAAATTTATCATAAAAATCTCTTTGCTTCTAATGTTTTCACACTTAATGAAAATATGAGTAAAATTATTGTCAAATGAACAAACAAAATAAAATTGCAAAAAACTAAAGAATTCTATCCACTTCAATATGTTCAACTTCTTTTTTCTATATTTTTTTAAATTATTATTAATAATTTTCTTCTTTCTTATTTATTACCTAGTAATTTCATTGCATTCTGCTCATAACAAAATAAAATTGCAACATTAAAAAACTAAAGAATTCTATCCACATCAGTATTTTCAACTTCTTTTTTCTAGATTTTTTTAACTCTTTATTAATTTTCTTCTTTCTTATTTATTACCTCAAATTTATCTAATCATAAATTTACAATTATTACAAGATTATTTAAATACAGATGAAGTTAGAAATTAACGGAAAATACAATAAGTCTTTACCTTTGAAATAATACGACAAAGTAATCAAAGTAGTATTTCAGTTTTTTTTCAAGATGTGTTCTCATATAATCTAAAACTCTCAGAATCAGAAAATATTCAGTTCTAAATAAGAATAACTTAGTTACAATTTTCATCTCTTCCCCCTGTTTTTATCAGAAAATGTGTTTTAACACTGTTTGTAAGTATACTGTGCACTTCCGGAAATTGAATTTGATTGATCAATCCATCGTCCTGAAAGATATCAGAGTTCAATATTGTGACTATTTCAGCATATTTTTAAACAAAGTGTTTAAATTTGTTTCTGAATTCGCCTGATATTTGAATTTATATTAGCAACGAACGTCCAAAATAAAGCGTAATATAACAGCAGTTACACAGTTATGTGAGTCGCAATAATCTCTGAAAGGTAAAACATCAAAATGGTACCTGTGTCAAATTACAGTTGCCTGCTTGCATGTCCCTTAAAGGGTCAGAGAAATATCTGACTGTGCCAAACGTTTCCCTTTTATCCCCCTGCATCTGTCGTGGTTAGAATTCTTCTAGAACTAATCCCAGTCAATAGCGAACGTACACAGAATGTTACTCCCACTCTTTTGATATATGCAAAATCGAAAAATAACAAGTCTATCAACACCCATTATCTGCTACATTTATTTATGACTCATTTTTGTCAGTTATGGTGTACTTTTTACTATAAACTTTAAGAATTCTTGCACTATATTTTTTAGAAATATAATCCATCTACGCAGAGTGTCATTCAACGTGCGATTTTCCTTTTACTAGGTTTTTAAAGGCATACAAATGAATAACATTGTTAATAAAGCTTTCTGAATAAGGCAATAGTTTTTTTCTCTGAATCAATTTTTTTAGCCATTAGTTTTTATATTCTACACCAGGCATTGGTGTCTTTATTATTTGAAACATTTTAGTATAACTAAGAAATATTTTTCACAAGCTGTAAATGTTTTAAAGATCAAACGGTCTAACAATCATCTTCTGATTTTCCTAAAAGCATTGCAGTTAAATTTCATTGCCGGTCGTTAAGATAAACTATTATCGGTAATTCGCTTCGAGCTTTTAAGACCAGTAAAACAGAATTATTACGAGGCTAGCATCTACACGAAATACTCTTTTCTGTTTACTTAGGATAATTCATAAGCCAGCAGGAATGCAGTGTTTCGAGAATGTAAGATTTCGATTTGTTTTATTTTAGGTGAATCAAGTTGGCTTATAAACTCATTTTCAGCGTATTCGAATGGAAAACGGCTTTTCTCGACAGAAGCTAAGGAACTAGAATTAGAATGTTTGAATGGTTTCAGATATGTAAGTATTTGTTACGTGGTGATTGGACACAGATACATACACAATATGGTTTTTCCCTCTGCTAATTCTGTGGATCTCGTATATGTAAGTAAGGACGTAAATACATTTTGTACTGTATATAATGTAATCAGTGGATACTACATTTCTAGGAAGTTCATTCATAATTAATTAATCTATAATGTGCAACTATCTAATAAAACTATTTAATATGTCATAGGTAAAAGGACCGATTGACTATATAACGAGCGTTCAAATAAAAACGTGGTCAAGTTGGTTCTGAAAATTTGGACGTAGGGCGTAGCGTATAGCAAATGAACTTAAACGTCATCTGTCAAAGCGCTATATCGCCGCTATCAATTTGAATATTTTCGTTTTAAAAAGCGTTTAAAATGGTGTTTTCTCAAGAACAAAAAGTGTTTATCATAGAGTCCTACTTTAGAAATGGACGCAAGATTGATGGAATATGGAAGTATTCTATTGAGGAATGTTTCATAGAATTTCAAAATCAATTTCCCGGCGTTGTTGAGTACAAAATTTTTCAAAGTGCAGTTCAGCGTTGTGTTAATGTTTTTCGTGAAACGGGCAGTGTAACAAGAAAAGAAGGAAGCGGCCGACCTAAAAAGCGGACTGAAGAATTAAAAGAAAATGTCCAACAAATAATGGAAAATGCGCCAAGAACTTCTGTACGTGTTTTATCACAAATGGTGGGAGTATCAGTCGGTACCTGCCACACAGTGTTAAAAAAAGATTTGCGTTTGTTCTCCTATCGTTTAACTTGTCAGCAAGAACTTCATGAAGTTGATTTTCCGCGACGGGCTGTATTTTGTGAATGGTTTTTAAACAACTACGGTGAACTTCATAATATCACCTTTTTTTCTGATGAAGCCTGGTTTCATTTAAGTGGTTACGTAAACTCACAGAATATGAGAATGTGGTCTTCTGAAAAACCAGATAACTTTTTTGTCGAGGGCCCTCTACACGCTCAAAAAATTGGAGTTTGGTGTGCTCTCAATCGAAGGAGGATTTATGGACCTATTTTTTTTAATGGTACTCTTACTGCGCAAAGGTATAGAGAAGAAATTATCGCTCCTTTTGTTAACCAGCTGGAAGAAAACGAAATTACAAACTTTTACTTTCAACAAGATGGCGCAAGGGCACATACGGCAGGCGAGACGATGAATATGTTGAGGGAAGTTTTCCAAAATCGACTAATAAGTCTCAATGCTGAACATGAATTTCCACCGAGGTCATGTGATATTACGCCGTGTGATTTCTTTTTGTGGCCTTACCTTAAAAACACTATTTTTGAACTGCCTATTCCTGATTTAAACCATCTGCAGGCTCGACTTATAGACAAGATTCGTGAAATTAACAATACCCCGAGCATCTTAGAAAATGTCTTTAATTCTTTGAGGAACAGGTGTGAAAAGTGCTTGGAACAAGGAGGGGGACACTTTCAGCAGCTGCTTTAATTTATTGTTATAACAAGGAGGGGGACACTTTCCGCAGCTCCTTTAATTGTTTGTTATTGTTATCACGATTATTCTTTAAAATAAAGTTATATAGTCATTAACGTTATTGAAACTGACAGCTGCTATACAGCTCGTTGAGAAATGAGGTTAAGTTGGTCGCTATAAGCTACTCCCTACGTCCAATGTGTCAGAGCCAACTTCGACCACGTTTTTATTTGAACGCTCGTTAACTATTTGGATATCATTTTACCTACACAGTCTGCGTGTGCGTGGTATGTAATCTACAAAGTGCGTTCTATCTTAATTGTCACTATAGCTTGTCTACAGATACGAAGTAATGGTAGGTATAGGCTTTCCGTCAGTCAGTTGAGTCATGTCAAGTCAGTTAAATATGTATAAAAACGTCTAGCAATAAAATTTAATGAGTAAAACGTTTTCTGCTAAAGGTAAAAATATTAATAATTTGTATATAATTTGTAGCAAATTACTATTATATGTTCATTTGGCCAACAACATATTTTAATTATTTCTGTCTTCAAACAATTTTATTATATTGATGGTAAATTTTGGTTATGACATATCAAAATTCCGCATTGCCTCACTGCACTGCTAGGTAATTTGTCAACAACTGAAATTTATGGCCGATCACCCAGTGCGACTTTGTTTGTGCGCCGTTTGCCCGCGCGCGCTTTCTTCAACTGGGCGTATATATTTCTACCACCTCCACATTTAGTTCGACAAGACCTATATACAGTTTGGCTAAATAAATATGGGAACAAGTTTTTCAAATATTTTAATGCCGAGTTGTTGTATAACGACCGGAACCTGATACATACTGCCTAGCTCTTTGGTCTACAATTGATATCGGAAAGACCATACAAGACAATGCCTTGTGCTAGCAAAGATAGAGTAACAGTAATACCTAAGATATATCACACTTTACAGGTTTATCCTCACAGTTTACGTTTGTGTTGGATAAATTGTAAATACTGATATTAGCTGGAGGTATGAGATAGATATGATTGGAAAGTTTTGAGACCAGGCCTGTAATCTACAAATGGTGGTTATACAGACTGTTAGTTGGGGTGAATCTCCCTCAAAGCAGTCCTCTTCTGACTGAACACACTCCAACGGTATTTCCAGATTTGGATGCGTTCCTTGAAATTCTTGAGGATGTTAAGAACCTTTTCTGGATATCTTCCCTGGATGTCTTCAAGGGAATCAAACCGCTGCCATTCAGCGAAATTTTTAAAATTGACGCCAAAAATTCCCTGATGAAAGAGCATATGTGTCGCTGCGTCGTCCTAGGGGAGAATCCAATTCCTTTTCACCAGAGTGCAGGACCCTTCTTCCGCACATTTTCGCGCAAACGCTCAGTGACACCTTTATAGTATTCTTGATGGAGTTTGTCCATAGGGCATATTTCCACTGGGATGATTGTACTTTTGTTTCTGGGTCACACCCATAAACCCATGATTCGTCTGTAATCGGTGTTCTTTCTGTTCGTGTACGATGATTTCAAAACGAATTTCGCAAACAACCGACGCATGTTCAAATATCCAGGTAAAATTGACTGAGCCGCGTTCATCAGATATTTCCCTAACTGTTAATCGGCGACCAGAGCGCATTAATTCGCTAATTTTCGCGATGTTTTAGTTGGTTATTGAAGTTGAAGTTCTGATAGACCAGGGATCTTCATCGACTGATTCACAGGCCTTTTTAAATCTATTGAAACAGATAAAAATATTCGCTCAGCTTAGGCATTTATCTTCGAATGCTGTTTTTAAGAGATGGTTGTATCCAAAACTGATTTCCTAGTTTTAAAACTGAATTTTACACAAACCCTTTGTTATGTTTTCACATCCACTTTCGAAATCGATAAATCCGCTGAAAATCGGAAACACGTCTTCACTTACCAGACTGTCACTCTATGCTGGAGGTTCTGGGATGATTTTTAGAACATTTCCAGAAAAAATACGCTTTCATTTTCACATACGCAGTGTCTCCCACTGAGCATAAAACTTTGCAATCACACCTTGAATATTTACACGTATTATTTTAATGTTAAAATGATTGCTATCAGATATCTAATGAAGATGAAAGTGTGAGAAAGCTTTTTAATTGTGGTGATATACAAGATTTTTGATAAAGGTATTACAGTTATAATATCGCTCAAGAAAGTTCATAATAAACACGTGTTTAATACCCAAAGATTACTGAGATATAGCAAGTTGACTTACTGCATTAAAAGTTTTATTAGTTCTTAACTAACATTTGAAATGTAAAACTAGTTATTGATTTTAGAGATACAATTTGAAAACCTCATTCAACACACTTTGCTGCCTTAACAAAAATGTTGGAAATTGTGCTTTACACATTCTTAGTGATCCTTAATTTGCGTGTTTTCTTTATCTTCATAAACATTATCTTCCCTCTATCCTCATGATTCAAAATCCAATGAATTCAGGTCCGCAGATATAGCTGATAAATTGATGTAATTAGTGCGGTCGGTTTACCGTTCTTCAAAAATTTTGATTGAACTGACAACTGTAGTAAATGGGGTTCAACCTTATTACAGTATGTTCCTGACCTTTTTGACCAAGGGAATATCCTTGAACTGGGTTCACTTTCCAATAACTTCAAATATTTGGACCCTGTTAAACTGTATGGTAAAACAAAACACAGAACTAAACTGCTGCCAGTCCCTTGGTATATATTTAATGTTTGTTAGAAACTTGATTATATATAATTGTATCGAGCACTAAATGAAAATCGTAACCTACTAGATAATAGTTCAGTAATAGCATAATAAAATCGCTGTATCTCAACTTAATAATAATTATACACATATGTAAAATAACTTTTCAAAATATTTATCATCGTCCTGAAAAACTCTGTACCAAAAATTACAATCTTTTAGTAGGAGTCTCATTTAATATGCAATAACATGATCACCGTTGTTATCTTGAAAATGTACATTTTTTTTTACTTTCAGCCAACCAGTTTCATTCAAAATTAGTAAAATTTTCTTTATTATACGTCCAAATTGTTTGTAAGTATGTGTTGGGCAAAAAATTACTCAATCAGTACATTGTAAACAGCTCTCTATCGATAAGCACAAAATGAATACTAGTATAGAAATTCTAACCCTAAAACATATATGTTTTGCAATTTTCAATTTGATTGGATCTTACCAAGTTTGAAGATCGAAGAAGAGCAACATTTTTTTAAGGCATATTGAACTCAATCGCTCTGTTATAATGTCAAGTAATTTGTTCCTAAAAAAAGTTAGTACAGTATTGGGTTTCGTACAATTCTACATTTAAAATTATTATCAGACTATCTTTCCACACTTTCTGATACACCACATGAAATTAAAATGTCATTATAAGTGCGCGCAAAACAGACTTCCGTTAACTTTTTGCGACCGGCGTCAGTTCTTGTATTCTGATTTCGTTGGGACCGGCGCCGGCGTCGGCATGGAGTCAGTTCCTAAATTTTATTTTCTCAAGAATCCATTATATTGCTCTTTGAACCTTATTCTGTGGAGGGTGCCTGTTTAGCATTTAAAAAGCTGTTGTGTCAACAATATGATGATCGGCGAAAAAAAATGTTAATGCTTGGCGAGTTATGGTCCTTCAATTTTGATAAGAAAAAAAGAATACAGAATCAATGGAATAAGCTATTCTTTTTTAAATTTCGCTTTAGAATAATTAAAGGGAATAATAGCCATATTTTCTTTCCAAATGTTTCCAAATGTTCGTAACATTAACATTGTCAAATTATGAATAATTTTGAACCACCCAATAATTACACATTTCTGTTTCCCTGAGTGATACCCTCTAAAAACAATATCCAGTCTTAAATGTCAGGTCAGTTTTTTTGTTTACAACTTCTACTACTGTCTCCGGCTTTATTTTTTTTTCAGTCCTATAATGACTTTTTCTTCTACATTTCAATATATTAATTCCTATTTGCTTTATTTCTTTAGAGACTGATAAAAGTTGAAGGGTATCGGTCTTTAATATACTGACGCGAATGTCTGGATGTATATTTAAAATAGAGTTGAAATTTAATAAATTTTAAGTTATAAAAAGTTCTGAGCAATAAGCACTACGACAAACACATAAAAACTTAAATTTAAAGAAACGCTGAACTTAAATATAAATTTTTCATATCTGTGAAATAAAATAAAAATAACTTTTATCCTATTTTTCCATAATTAAGCATAATTACACAGGCACAAAAAGTGGTCTATTCTAAAGTACAGATCCATGTCATCCTATGTATTTTGAACCCCAGAAATCGAATTTGCCATGAGAAATTCTTCAATACTTTCTCGTTTTTAATTCAATTTAATATTTTAATTGTCAAAAATTACTCTTGAAACTTAAAAAGCAGCTAAAACTCTGCATAGATCCCTCTTTGAACACAGCTCTCAAAACTTGTTGAGGATTCATATTTGTAGGGTTTATTGCATATTTTGGATATTCAAAGACTCGATCAATCCTTCCAACCCTGAATACCTTAAATGCCTACTCTTTAAAACCTCGTTTCCTTTTGGATACGGCCTTGCAAAATCTATATGCAATCAAGGTACACTTGAATTCTTTGAAGGCAGTTTTGAATGAGTGAAGCAAATCGACTCAGTCACAATTCTTTTTGTATAGCTTTCTTCAAACAACGTAGGTAGAAGATTTCCTTTTCTCCATTTCCTTTCATCTGCATATTTCTTTTTAGCAATCAATAATAACACAGGGCAACAAAATTTTACGAAAGTTCACACCCAAAAACCAGACCTCACTTGCCCGAAGGTTTTTGGTGCGTAGAATCCGAATCTAGCGTCAGAATTGCTCCTATACGTCACGTTTCCGAGATGTCCTAACATAAATGTGCAAAAAACACGTATTTGCCTCTAAAACTACTACTCTTATCCTTCAAAACACTTTTTTCAGATTTGAAAAATATTTTTTATTCGCGGAGATATCATTGAATGAAGTTAGATACTTTAGCGTTTTCATAACAATGGTACTAAAATCGAAAAAAGTTCTTCAGAAAGCGGATATTTACATGTTTTTTGGGTCGCTCAATCCGAATCTGACCTCCAAATTATTCTATCACTTTAGGATTCTGAGATTTCCTAACCTAAAACTGCAAAATCAACCTGTCTGGTTAATACCGATAGCAATTTTAGGTTAAGAAATCTCAGAATCCTAAAATGATAGAATAATTTGGAGGTCAGATTCGGATTGGACGATCCAAAAAATATGTAAATATATTACTACCGCTTTCTGAAGAAGAGTGGTAGTTTAAGAGGGCACGATTCGTTTTTAGAAAAAAAAATTTCGCTCTGTGATATAAGCTCAAATATTGCAAGAAAACGTGTTTTTTGCACTTTTAAGTTAGGATATCTTGGAAACGTGACGTATAGGAGCAATTCTGACGCCAGATTCGGATTCTACGCACCAAAAACCTTCGGGCAAGGGGAGGTCTGGTTTTTGAGTGTGAAATTGTTGCCCTGTGTAATCTGCCATCATATTTTCATGATGATAGATTATCCCGATGATAGCTTTAAGAGGATAGCTTTACCAGGACGGATAGGATGAAAATATGTCAGATTACTGTTAGATCCTGAAAAGAGAAATACTAAAATAATTGGAACCACTGTAAAGGTTTAGTACAAATTTTAGATATATATTAGTTGATTTGAGTCCATTTTCCAGATTCACAACTGCCTTAAAAGACATGAGGTACATGATGACTCTGTACTGGTGGTGTACTATGTACTGGACTGGTGGTCCACATCCACCAAAACTACTATGGATAGTGGTAGCTGAATTTGGGGTTTTAAGGAGTAGGGGTTTCTGGTGTTCACCAAGAACTGCACGACTACTGCACCGATTTCGTCTTCTTGTGTCCAGGATATGCCATATATTGAATCATAGTATGTGTAGTTCTGGGTGATAAGAATTTAAGTTCACAGTCTATTAAATAAACTCATGCCATATTTCTCTGTTGCGTAGAGTGTAAAATTTCGCCGTCTCCGGATAATAGATTTGTGGTTTGAGTTGGTGACTTGAATGTAGAATTTTAAGTGATTTTTATGTTATATGTATGTATGGTTTTCTGGTGTTCACAGGAGGATTGTAAGGGTTGGCTGAACACACAAGGTATGCAAAATACCTAACGTATCTTACAAATATGATGCGTTGACTAATTTAGAGGTTTGTGCCCCATGACATGACAATTCTACAAAATTCAGGGGTTTTGATTTCTTTTAAAGGGTAGTTTTCGGTAATTAAAAAAAACGGTAGTGGAATGTTTCTCATGACAGATTATGTTTTTGGAGAGCAAAATTTGTGGAATTCTCCGTGGAATAGACACCCTTTTTGTAAATTTGTGTTGTTTCTTTTTCAGTGGGTTCAACGCTACTTCAGCACTTTGGTCATGGGTGGTACAGTGAGCGTGGATACGTTTTTCCTCATATCATCGACCCTCTTGAGCTATCATTTCTTCTTAACAGTCACCAAGACGAACAGTTTCAATTTAATTCATTTTTATTTGTATCGGAACATAAGGATTATAATGCCCCTCTCTGTAACCACAGCGATCTATGCTACACTCCTTCATTACCTGGGCTCAGGACCAAGTTGGCACGATTATGCTTATGTTTTTCAAAAACCTTGCCAGGTCTTTTGGTGGAGCACCTTAATAAATTTACAGTCCTACGCCAATCCTGAGACAATAGTAAGTATTAATAGAATTTATAGCAGTTACAGATAGAACCCGAAAGTATTTTTCAAATGTAACAGGTATGTTTTAAAATATTTCCAGTAATATGCTCACTAAGATTGGTAATTTGTTATCTACGAATATTTTTAAACGAACAAAAATTCAGATCCTCAATCTTGAGGAAAACTTTATCTGTCTCACCATCATAATTACAAAATAGATTGAATTTAGAGAGTACACTACGCCTTACTTCTCATCATGTGACTGCATTCTTAATCCTAAGTTAAAGCCACTTATTGAGATCTGTTGATTTTCATATAAGATGTTCGATGCACCCACCATTTGCTTGCACACAAAGTTCAGCGCAACGTATTCAATTCGCTCGCACGCGTTGCAACATTGCCACATTCTCTCGAATCGTATTACAAGGTTCAGCAATAAGATGTCGCAGTTGGTCGATATCACGAACTTCCGTGGTATACACAAAACTTTTCACATATCCTCACAAAAAGAAGTTTAAAGAAATAACGTCTGGGTACCGTGGGGGGGGGGCGTTGGGGGGAGGGGAGGGTTTTTAACTAGGCTGTCACGGCTTTTCCAGCGATCGGGAAATGTAATGTTTAGAAAGTGTCGCACTCTCCGAAAAAATTCATGCAGTAACCACATACTTTGCTGAACATTTAATGGCACGTTTTCCAATAACTTTGGCAAGTGACTGCAAAAAATCTAGATATGAAGCACCGTCTAAGCGTCTAGACAATTCAAAAGGACCTATCAAAGTGTCATTAACTATACCGGCCCACATGTTCACTGAAAAACTGTTGCTGAAAGTCACCGCGACGTATTTCGTGTAGATTTTCGATAGTCCAGTGATGAGTGTTGTGGGCGTTGCGTACACAATTTCGACTTGCTTCATCTGTAACAAAGTAAATTGATGATTTCTTGCATGTTCCTGACGTGGTGGAAAATCCTCAGGAGTAAGCCTTTCAACACGTTGAATATGAAATGGGTACAACGAGCTTCTCGTAATGTCCGCCACACAACAGAATGCGAAATATTTACTTGCTGTGCGATATTTCTGGTGCTACGATGCGGATCCTCTTCGACGAGATCTAAAATCATCTCCTCGACATTAAAGATTCTTAGTGCTCGCCCTAGGCTACCGTCGCGACATCGTCGTGATTGTCAAAAACTCTTTGCGCTATAACAACAAATGTTCGCGGTGCGGGGGCACGTCGTTCAGGATATCTTGCACGGTACACTTGACAAGCTCTGTGGGCATTTTCGTTTGCTTCGCCAAAAATTATGAGCATATCATAATATTCGCGATTGCTAAATAAATGCGCCATTTTCAAAAGAAAACTTGGAAATACGGCTATTAAATGTACTCTCGGAGAACAGCACAGCAATCACTACAACAATGTATTACAAACTGGCTTGTATTTCAGCAGTTCCAAAACAGTTTTAAACACATTTTTAATAGCTTTTTTTCTCTATGTCCTTAAACTTCCGATACAAGTTTGTGACATCAATTAACTCAGTTTCTTTTCTGCCTCTTTCTCACCCCTTTAAGTTTTTGACATAAGTTCATTAACACCCTGTATATGGAAAACTATTGGTGCATTGCCTAATTTTGACATTTACTCATCTTAACATTATTGCAAACTTTATTCATTCTTCCATTTCTTCTGTTAACGCTTTAACTGCGCACTGAATTGTTACATTTTCAAGTCAATCAGTTAAGAAATTTAGAATTTATTCAACAGTTTATTTTGCTTTCTTTCCTTTGTTATAGAATACAATTTTAGGGCTATTATCTTCAGCGTATTCTCATTAATCTGAACTGTTCATCATACACAAAGCATTCATTTAGGTAGGTTAACAATATGGTTTATTTCGTCCAATCTAAAGTTTCGCAAATACATTGTTGAGGTGTTGGACAACACCTTAAAAATATGTGCAGGAGATTCATAATGTAAATACAGGGTCGAAAAGTCCCCATGGTTCATCAGGCGAAATGGGCGGTGACTATTAGACGCCTTCATTATAGCCATCTTTCTCTATCGCACGGATTTCTATGACTTTCTTTATCGCTCTCACGTAACGGTCGATGAACCACGGGGACATTCCGACCCTGTATACTATATTTCTGGCTAATTAATCAATGTAACATATTCCAAATAACCAAAACAAAACAATAATTTTCTAATCAACTGAGTTTTGAAAACTGTGACAGTTTAACACCTCCACTATTAGCTGTCGACAGTTTGAAATATCGAATATTTCTTATCTGTTGATAAACTTTTCATTATTCCAGAATTGGGTATTATTTTTAGTCAGTTAAAGCCATGCGGTTTTGTTTTATTTGATCTATAGTATTAGCTATTAAATGTAGGAGCTGTTCATCGATCTATATTTTTAATTAAATTCTTTAATTTAGAGTCACATTCTGTGCAAATTAAAATAACACATGAAATTAATATTTGGTGTGGTAGAAGCAATTTATGAAAATCCCCTATGGCTATGACATAATGTTTTGGTGTAATGATTTTCGAAAATTATTATTATTATTAAATTACATGGATGTGATTCTAGTTTTTAGGATATAGAAGTGTATGATCTTAGGTAACTGTTTTTGAATGCTTAACAGAAGCAGTCGAGGTCTAGAAATAAAATTTAAAACGTAACACATTAAAATTTTATTAACTAATTTTTTCACACTTTCTAACTTAGACAAATTGGCAAGGTCTGTGGTTCCAGTGATCGTATTAATATGATTACTGTTTACAAAAATTCTTTATGATATTAAGTGGAATATGCACATATACTATTTTATGTTTAAATTCTTCGAATTGTATTTCTAAATAAATATGATATAACCTATAACATTTGCGAATATTTATTTTTCTTGTTTAAAGAACAGGAACCAATTTCAACATGATGAAAAGTTAGGGTACATGAATATTGTTACTATTTACTCTTTGTTGGTTAGAATTTAAATTAATTCAGTTTGCTCAAATTACAACTACATTAATACGTAATATTATCCATTTCGCGGTAAATATGACCCTTGTAAAATTCAGTCCTATGTATATTAAATTTTATGAAAAGTATTATTATTATGTTCGGAGTAATTAAACAGTATTATGCCATTGTTTATTTGATATACGGAACGTAGAGTAATTGTTGCTTGCATATAGGCATGGCAACGCTGTTATTACTTCAAGTAAACACTCAACATTTGCCAACAGAGTCGGTGGAAATTCTCTAACAAAGTTATTATGCATAACAGGTATAAGCTAAGGCGAAGATAGCGGGAAAATGTATTTTAAATTTAACTTATGAGGTCGTTCGCGTTAATTGAATTTTTCCCTTTTCTCGGGTTCTTTCTGTGGCATGTAAAATGGAAATGAAGTTTAACTAATGTATGGTTTCATCAGACAAAAATATAAAACCTCATTTAAAGTATTCTTTAAACTTTTAATTATTTTTCCAGTATATTAAATAAAATATTACAAAATTTGGATATTTTGCTTAGAAGTTGCACCTTTATTTTTTACAGTGCAATATTGTTTTTTAATAAAATAATAGTTTGCCTATTATTTAGTTTTCGTAGAACAAGTAGATAATATTGTGTGTAATTTTCTGTTTTTAAAAATAATTGATAGTTGCGATTAGGAAACCAAACTTAGACATATTTTCTTTTAAGGTGGCCATATCCCTGGCCGAGAAATAGTCAAATTTCTGGCGTTTTTTAGGTACTGAAATCTTGAAAAGTAAAACGTGTAGAACAAAAGTAAGCACAAAAATAAAATCCTTGATGTTATGTTTATCAATTGTTTATTTAAATTTACTCAAATAAAATAATAACTAAAAAAGCGTTTATAAAACATGCGTTTGCTGTTATCCTAACCCCACATTTTAAGAATTATTTTCACGTACTTATAAATAAAAGTAAACAATTTTATATGTAGGACTAAGCAAGTAAATATTATAAGAATATTTACATGTGGAGTTGTATATAAAAAAGTTAGTATTTTCGTAGATTTCAGCACCTAAAACCTTGATGGTTTGATCGTTTTTTGCACCTGTTTATTCGTTTTATTTGATAAGCTTTAGATTATTCAGTTATTAAATGTTTTAAATTATTTGTCTTTGTGGAAAACACTATTTAAAGAATATGGCGCCCTTAAAAGAAAGCTAAACTATATTTTATTACACAGCAACACGAAAAAAAATATGTGACAGACTAGACTATCATACCTATGGTGTGATACTATGCTTTTGTAGTCATTGCGCGCACGACTGACAAAGTTAGCTCAGTTCGTTTAAACGTCAACTCTTGTTTTCTTATGGTAATACAATTTTTGACTCCTGATTATGAAAGAGCGAAAAATCTTACATTGAGAGATCTGTTCGAGCCGTTTTATTTTTATTTTCAAGGTCATATGAAGATCAGATTCCTTTCTCGAAATTTTCAGATTGATATCTCGTCAGGATAACGGAAAGATGACTTCTAAAAAGTTGTTTGGGTCATTACTTGGTGACCTTAGACATGACCTTTATAAAAATTATTCGTGTTGGCTTTGAGACCGTGAGATGATGATTTTCGTATCTATGAGATCTGACTTTCATGACTGTGATGGCATGAAAATGACAGTGATAGACTTCTTAATCGAGAATTTGGTCCTTTGCATATAACTAGTTTCACAGTGAGGAATTTTAAGTCCTGCTACCTCAGAATATATTGAGAATGGTGACACTATCCAGAAAGGGGATGCGTGGTATGATCCATTCTATTGTATTCAGAGGTATTAATTTAAAAAAAACAAGAGTTGACCTTGAAATAACCTTGAGCATGAGCTAACTTCTTCAAATGGACACAGGATTCGGATTTAGCGACCCCAAAAAGGTATGAGTATCCATGGTACTTTATTTTCTCCCGTGGAGCTGTGTTATTTGAAAATAGCTAGTTTCACAATTATTCCAAGACGCATGCTTTTAAAGTGTACTGAAAGATTGTCAAAATGATAAAAATTCTTTGGACACAAAAAGATGTGAGTGGTTATAAATCGGCATTTTATAGTCCCAAGTGCATTTTATTACTTCTAGTTTAAATAACGATGTTTAAATATATGTATTTATTTCTAATCTGTAATTCAATTAATTAGTTAGTTTAATTAATTTTACGTTAGATACAGAACAAAACTTTTTCTGCACATTTTAATTACATATTCGTTTCAATTTATTATATTCATATTTTGTTAATTAATTTTGTTCATCAATTTTGTTATTTTGAATAATATTATTGTAATTCTGTAATTTAATTAGTACACTAGTTAAAGGTGATTATATCAACTCATAAAATTAATTGCAATTTGTGGCAATGAACACAAATATTATTTTGGTAAAGTAGAATATTATACTGAGCTGAAGTTTTTAAAATGTTTGGGTTATACCATAAAATTTTCGAATCATTCTGATTAAAATAAGATCGAGACAAATTTTTTTTATTTCAATCTGTTTAGCTGTGTGATAGGAATCGTTAGTTTTGCTTTAGACTGGCTTTACCTAGAATTGGGAAACAGTGTATTTTAAAGTACCTACAGGTATTGACAGAGGCTATGCTAGACATTGTCATATAATAACAATAAATAATTAATTTTTATCAAGCGCATTTGAAGAACTATTTTTCTAATGCTCTTTATCATACTAGCTAGCATGACAAAATGTCCTTTGTGTTTTAACTTAAAGCTCTTTTCATAAGCTTTCAGAATATGTAATAATATATAACTATAGCACGCGCGTGCGTCGAATATTTTATTTTACAACTAAGGCTAAAAGTAAAAAAACATTTCAGGTTGCAAATTTCAAATTAAAAAAAAATTATAGATTTCAATGTATTATTATTAAATCTATCATGAAAAAAATCAGTGCGATTGTGGAAGATGCTCGGGATCGTCCAGACTAATAATTAGTTAATTTGTTTATAAGGCCATAACTTGTAAACTATTCAATTTACCGATTCCAGATTTCGTGTGAGTTATTCGACAGTGATAAGGAATGAGGATACGATGCCAAAACGTTCTGGTAATAATAACGCAGTTTATAAATGTTTAATTCAGAAGTCATAAATAAACTTCTTCTGTTTATAACTTTTGATCTAATCAATATTTTTTGACGCGCTCGAGAGCTAGGTAGGTCTTTTGAAGACGAAAAAAAAGTACTTTACTGTTTTCTCGTGGAAATGAACGGAAAAAAGTTATACTTGAGCGAAAAACGTGAATTTTACAATTAACCAGCTTGTAAACAATCTTCCCCCCATTTCTATGACTGTGGAAACTAATATGTTATTGTACATAATATTTAGCATCTATAGTGATAAATTCAGCTTGCCGAAACAAAAAGTCGCGTCCAACTCTATATTTCCTGGCCTATATAATTTTGGGATTTATTTTGATTTTAAGTTTCAAAGTTAAACCAAGGTCACCTTCAAAATATTAAATGGAATACCATATATTTTATACAATCTGATACCGGTTTCTGTTACACTCTTGATCAAACTAATTTTTGTATGAAAAATTTTGCAAAAACGTTTTAACCATAATTTATAGGAATTTGAATAAAAAATTAGACAATGACCTTGGATTTAACTTTAACATGATTAGATATCAGCCTCCAAAATGACCTTTTATACAATTCTTATTATTAACCTAATTATGTGTTAAATTCCAAAATCGTTACCATCATTATACTAATAGTTCGGGTCGAATACGTTTGCTAAATTCTATTACTTTCATATCCATAATTTTTATGTAAAGTCAGTTTGACCCTCAAATGACCTGCGTGGACATCCTGGGAAAATTCTTTGGTCAACAATTGCGACACAATATTTGGCACTGTATTGGTTGCTGGCATAAAAAATAGCACATTCCATTTGACATTCAGTTGACCTTAATTTAACCTTGTCACTTGCAGTGAAGGACATAAAAAAAACATTTTTCTCCAGAATTCGAGACATGCAGAGAAAAAATAGTTTCTCCTCCAAATGACCTGCAAAGACGCATTTAAAAAAAATAGTTAAAGGTTAAAAATATAAACAGTGTAAAAGTATGCGTTTAAGTGTCATGTAAATGTAAACAGCATACAAAATATTTTGGTTTGAAATATCTTGCAAATGTTCAGTAACTGCAATTTGTCCAAGTGGTATTCATAAGTAGATTAACCAGTGTGGGGATTATCTGACCTTGTTATTTAGCGCGTAATTTATCTAATTTACTGAAATAAACGTATTATGGCGCATTAATATCGGGCAGAGTCGACATTGTCGGGTACTCACGGGAGATTTAGACTGAAAAGGGGTATAATTTGTTTCCGTCCGCGAACCTCAATGGAATATAAATTATGGCCATTTAAAACTATCAGTTTCGTAGAGTTGGTAGCATTTATTTCAGTATAAATTTATATCCCTCTAAAAATAATGTTTGTACTCCGCTTTCGCCCGAAGAGGTAACGAATAAGTTGTCCTCAAACCCTTTAAAATATTACTGTTTCCTTGATTTTTTTGATTTTCTTGATACAAAGTGCTCATTTATTTTTTTTAAATTATTACAAAAAGATATTATTGGTATTTCTAAAAAGGATGTAAATAGGTTTTCTCCTTTTGACTTATCACTTAGGTAATTTGGACACAGATATGATTCTCATAATTATATCAGAAACTGATTAACAAATGAGAATTAACAAAAATACCTTGAATTTAGATCTGGACTTCTAGGAGATCATATAAGTTTTTAGATCATAGATGTACTGTATTTTTAAATTATTTTAAAAGATGAAATTTTGCTTGGTATTATAACATTGCAAATGGTATTGTTTTCTTGATTTTTTACAGAATCTTGGGATTTTGAAAAATACGCAGAATTCTAAGGTTGTATCAACTAGAATTTCGGAATTTAGAAAATTTTATGACCTCCCTGAAGTCCTGATCTGAATTCAATGGATCTTAATAAATTATCGTTTGTTAGTCAGTTTATGGTTTAATTTACAACAATCATAATTGTGTCCAAGAAATCTTATTGATATGAAATTAGATATATATTTTTCTGTAAAACAATTGAAACTTCTTATATTTTTGACCTTCTTTGGTTTAATAATAGTCAAAAGCGTTTTTCTTGCTTTTAGCGGGCGACAAAAAATTTAACAATATTCAGTGCAATACTTTTTTGTTCTTGCTATAGGCAGAATTCGATTTCAAATAACAGCCTCTATTAGGCCAGGAAAAAGAGCTGAGAAATGACAGAGTCTTCGTCTTCAAAAGACCTACAAAACTAGCCTTAGAGCGTCAAAAAATATTGATTAGATCAAAAGTTATAAACAGAAGAAGTTTTTTTATGATTTTTGAATTAAACATTTATAAACTGCGTTATTATTACCAGAACGTTTTGGCATCGCTTCCTCTCATTCCTTAACACTGTCTAATAACTCACACATAATCTGGAATCGGTAAGTTGAATAGTTTACAAGTTATGGCCTTATAAAGAAATTAACTAATTATTAGTCTGGACTATCCCGAGCATCTTCCACAATCGCACTGATTTTTTTCATGGTAGATTTCATAATAATACATTGGAATCTATAATTCTTTTTTTTAATTTCAAATTTGCCACCTGGAAAGTTTTTTATTTTTTATCCTTAGTTGCAAATTGAAATATACGACGCACCCGCGTGATATAGTTATATATTAAATATTCGGAAAGCTTATTTTATCTATTTATCTAAGCTTATTATTTTAAAGATTTATCAAGCGCATTTGAAGAACTATTTTTCTAATGCTCTTTATCATACTAGCTAGCATGACAAAATGTCCTCCGTTGTTTTTCAACGAATCTTGACAGTTTTTTTAACTTAAAGCTCTTTTCATAAGCTTTCAGAATATATAACTATAGCAAGCGCGTGCGTCGAATATTTTATTTTACAACTAAGGCTAAAAGTGAAAAAACTTTTCAGGTTGCAAATTTCAAATTAAAAAAAAATGATAGATTTTAATGTATTATTATTAAATCTATCATGAAAAAAATCAGTGCGATTGTGGGAGATGCTCGGGATCGTCCAGACTATTAATTAGTTAATTTGTTTATAAGGCCATAACTTGTAAACTATTCAACTTACCTATTCCAGATTTCTTATGAGTTATTAGACAGTAGTGATAAGGAATGAGAGGATGCGATGTCAAAACGTTCTGGTAATAATAACGCAGTGTATAAATGTTTAATTCAAAAGTTATAAATAAACTTTTTCTGTCTATAACTTTTGATCTAATTAATATTATTTGAAGCTCGAAGGCTAGTTTTGTAGGTCTTTTAAAGATGAAAAAAAGTACTGTACTGTTTTTTCGTGGAAATGAACGGAAAAAAGTTTTAAGCGAAAAACGTGAATTTACGTAAAAATTATACAATTAACCACCCTGTAAACAATCTTCCCCCCATTTTTATGACTGTGGAAACTAATATGTTATTGTACATAATATTTAGCATCTATAATGATAAATGCGGCTTGCCGAAACAAAAAGTCGCGTCCAACTCTATATTTGGCCTGGCCTACTATATTACAAAGCAAGATAAATGCAAGGAAATCGTACTATTTTTCTATTACGTCCACATTTACCCTCCCTTTTACACTCTTATCTAAGCCACCCTGTATTAAATAACTTTTGTAGAACTGTAATATGTTTTTCATCAAAAATATTTATAATCGTAAATTTTTTTTTCTGCAGGTTTAAATACATATTTTTCTTATTTTGACGTATTTTCCAACATTTCCCTTAGATTCTCTACATTTTTCCAGTGACTCATAAAATGTACGTGTGTGTTAAATTTCCGTAGTTCTTAAATTTGATTGATAAATGATATCCGATTGAGTAATTAATTTTGTATAATTTTCAGTGCATCGTTCAAGTTTGGTACTTGACCGACGACATGATTTTTTACTATCTGTCTCCCATCATAACGATACCTTTATGGAAGTGGCCTAAATTTGGATATGTTAACTTGGTTCTAGTTTACATATTGTCCATCGTTAGTAGTTTCTGGGTTGCTTGGAGCAACAAATTCGACGGAGGAATGCCAATTACGTAAGTGTGTAGAAATTAGCAACAAGAAACTCAAATCTGTCGAGAAGAAAATGTATGCTTACCCTGCAAACATCTATTATCTGACCCCAGGTTCGATCGTAAATAAAAAATTAAATGTTCTATTGAGTACATGCTTTCAAATTGACATTGGTTTGACATTGAAACTTAAGGTTGTGATCAAATACATGGTCACTAATATATTAGTTTCTTGAAACCCTACAACTATTATCTGAAAGTTTTTTTAATAGTATGCAGTCCTGTAAAGTTCAGGGGGTTCGGGTTTTATGGATACCATGTATATTCAACTTATTTTTAATTGCATGTAACTGAAATTTCCTCCTATTGTATCTGATCGAGATTTAGATTACAAACAAATTTGTTTTATTTCAGGCACATTAACGACAACGACAATTATTATTATTATTAGGTAAAAAAATATATCTTATGCCACTGAGTATTGCCTCAAAAATATTTTAAGGATTATTTATCATTTATAAAATATACAGGGTGGTTAATTGAAAACGGAACAGAGCCATTTTCAGGAACTGCGTCAAGGTTGTAGAAAAACGCTCAGGCCCGTCGATTTTAGATTAAAGGGGGGCATTCTTTGCTGGTATTTTTGAAAAAGTAAAATCTATAAAACACAGCCAACGTCGCTGGAAGATTTGTATCAAAGAATCTTCGACGAATGCCGTCGAATCGCTCCGGAAATGTTTCGGAATGTGCGCGAACGTTCCGAACAAAATCTTTATTCTTGTATGGAAGCGGGCGGTCATCAGTTTGAACATTTAATCAACTAAGTAGTAAGTAAGCAACTAAACATAAGTTAAATTATAAAATGTAAATTATTTTCAAAGTATTGGGCAGAATTATAAAATTTAAAGTCTGTTGTAAAGAGAATTGTAAGAGCTTTCAATAGAAATATTACTCAACCCCTAATGCTATTTAAATATTTTGGGGTGATGCTTACCCTTGCTTGGAGGTGAAAGTGGCGGAGAAAAAAATACCAGCACAGAATGTCCCCCTTTAATCTAAAATCGACGCGTCTGAGCGTTTTTCTACAATCTTGTATAAAATACAGTAATCGATATTACGGTTAGATAAAAGCAAATTTTTCTAAAATCTGATAAAAAAGTTATAATTATCGAGCAGCACAATTCTCCCGAGAATGAAATGGTTGGTCATCCTCACCACATTAAAATTCAAACACAATGTATGCTTATATTTTAATTTCACTTCATATTCTGTCCCGAAATCCCTCGGCACATTATGCTTTCCAGAGGACAATAATCTGTCCATAAAAACATGAATATGCATTTATTAAAAACGGCATGTGGCAAGTATCGCTTCGACAGATCAAAAACAAATCTGTTGTAAAAACATTGCCTCCATTTCCATTATTTCAAATAAATAAATGTGGGCAGTGGAGAATGTTAAACCCCTGAGTAGGGCATGAAACAAAAAAACTCTATTTGAACTTCCAGAAAGTGTGGGCCCTATATTTACGATTTTTAAAATAGTATAGAATCGTTCAAGTATAGGTGTTTCCCCTTTCATATTTTATATTTATATACATAATTGCTCTTTTGAAAAGTTAGGCTTCTTACCTAAATCAAAAGTATAAAAAAGTACCTTCAATCCACAGTGGAGTGAAAATAAGTAAAGTTGCTAGAACATTCCAAATTGTTGCTATGAAAAAATATTCCGACACGATTTAACAAATACATAATAATAATATAGATTTGACAGAAATTTGAAAAATTTGATACTGCGGTTGCAATTAATTCTTGTGCTTCCATGGTTTGTCGTATTGTTTGTAATTTTCTGTTACTAGTAATTATAATTAAATAATTTAAGCATTAAACTTATAAATTATTGTTTAATTTGTAATAGAACAATAAAAGCTGCAAATAGGTAAACGTTTTATTTGTTTATTTAGTTTATGATTTTTTGTCAAATTTGATAATGGGAAAAATATAAATGCGTAGACTGGTAATAAATAGATAATGATAAATTCAAATATTAGCTATTTCTTCCAAAAGTAACTCGCTCTAAATCGGATAGTAAATGCCTATCTGCCAAAAATGTGTTTATCTAAAATGGATTATATTGTGTAATAGCAGACCTAATTAGAAGGAAAACTATGTACAGGGTTAGTCACTATAATCTGACAACTTAATGTGAGTTTATTATTGAAATTACAAAAAAAGTTTTTAATACAAAGATTTTAACTTTTTTATGAATTTTTGTAATACAGTATTAGAAAAAACAATTGAATAATGAAAATCACTAAATTAAAGATTTTTTTGTAATGGAGCGTCCTATATATTAGTGCCTAGAAAGCAATTGTCTTGAAATTTACTAAATGTTTCACAGTAATAGTTGTTTACATTTTTGTTATTCCGTAGGACAAATTGTGTGCATCAGTTGTGTAACACTAGGTTAAGCGCTGTTGTCACGTTGTGATTAAACTCCCTAATATTAACACTCGCTATATTTTGAAAACTGTTAAACTTACGCCCCTGTAATATGCAACCTTTTTGTTCATTTATGATTACTCTTGCTGAAGTAATGTCAGTCAGACTTCTTACACCCTGTATAAAAACAATTCTATAAACTATGAAACCACAAAAAGACAATATATTGAAATGAAATCAAATTATTGATAGCAATTTATAAGTAAAATTATAATTTTACTTGAATAAGACACGGCGAAGAGAAAAGTTTGAAATGATTGTTGTAAAACTTAGAAAAATATTTGAGTAAAAAAGTGTTAGTATTAAATATGTTGTTGTGAATTATTATCGGAGAGTCGTATTACTTGAGCAGAATAAATTTCAAAGATTTAAGTATAAAAAACATTATCATTTTGGTCAAATAGCGTACATGCCAAAAGTATTATTAGAAAAACAATCAAAATTAATTAGCAACAGCAAGTGACATATAGCAAACGAAAGCTAAAATATCATACCTAGTTTTATTTAATAGTAGTATTATGAGTAAGAAAAATAAGTATCAAGAAATATTAATGTCTAAAGTAAAATTTTATATATCAATAGGATAATAATCAGTGAAATGTCAAAAATAAAATTGGATAGGATTGGATAGGAGTCATAAAATATTACATATGAAATTCAAATACAAATATAGAAGTAAGGAATATTTTGAAATATAAGTTAAAATTTTTGTAAATAAACTGGAGTGTGATTGTAAAATTGTAAATTATAAAGTGAAGTGAAGTGAAGTGGAAAAAGAAAACGGAATTTAGAAGAACAGGCATATATGTGAAAAGACCCTAACAAGGAAGAAAAAATCAAGAGAGTAGGAAAAATAAAAAGATTATTGACTAGTTACGAAAGAATTTGTCAGAGATGTTGAAAAGAAGTAAAGTGGGAAAAACCCATATAAACAGAAATAATTATAGTGGAAAATAGTAAAATAATTAAAGTTATTCAAGAAAATTTAAAGTTGAGCCAAAAAAAAGGGATTCAAAAGTTCAGTCTCTTAAAAAGGACTACAATAAGAATCCAGGACCAGATTCCAGACGCATAAAAGTAAGCAGCAGGTTCCGGCTATCCAGAAATCTCAAGAACGCGAGGATTCCAGGACGAGATTCCAGACGAATAAAGTAAGCAGCAGGTTCCGGTTATCCAGAAATCTCAAGAAAACGAGGATTCAGGAACGAGATTCCAGACGTATAAAGTAAGCAGCAGGTTCCAGCTATCCATTAACTGCAGGAAGACGAGGATTCCAGGACGACATCCAGGCCGAGTATAAGAGGGCAAGCAGTTCGACAATAAAATTTGACAAGATATACGTAGAGGTAACTTTGTGCACAAATAATTACAAAATCGTATAAGATAAAGCTAGCTAAAAAAAATAAATTGTTAAATATAATCTCAAAAGTAATAAAAAACCTATAAGAAGGATAATAACAAAATTTAAAGTAGTCTTCCCTGAAAATAAATTTGATATAAATACAAATTCTTCATCCCTGATAAATATTAAATAAATTTAACTTCACTATACAAATAAGTAATTAAAAAAAAAAATTTGGCCATATTAAAATTTTGATAGATATTAAGTATTAACCAACAGTACACTATAACAAATCGATTTGAATACCACTATATCAAAAATTCTCAAAGTGTCACAAAAATCAGTTATAATTGATTGTTATATAAAAAAATAAAGAACTAATAAATAAATTAGTTTCTGAATAATATCTTTTGTGTAGTGTGGTGTATTGTTTGGTTTTCTGAAGAGTTTGTACCTCACTAGAAGTCACTACTGAGAAGGGTCGAAAGCTAGCCAGGGTATAATTGACAATTTAAATTACAACATACACATATACACAACAGGATCATAATTATATTAATTATACAAACAAATCACATACAATACATATTACTACTCATAACAATATTGGCGCATACACATAAATATTACTACCCATAACAATATTTATGATAATTGAATAAGTTCCTGCGTCAAATGGTTTGGTAAGACTGCAAATATATATTATTTTTGCTCAAAACCTATGTATAACGATATATATGACCAAAATGGCTTTTCACATTGTTAAAGCTAGAGCTGAGTTAAATCGTATATTAGCAAAAAACACATTTATATAAAAAAATACATGTTAAACTTTTGTCACCATATGTTAGTTAATATCCTAAAATTATTAACGTTTATCAAATTTACCTAATTGGATTTGTACCAATCATATTATGGTACAGAAAAGCTAATTATTAAAAAAAAAAGTATTGGTTCGGTGTTTGTACTAAAATTATATTAATGTTCGTAGAGTTACTTTATTTTCGAATACGTTATTCTCCCTAAAAGATTCCTTAAGAAAACGTTTTCAACCACGAAACTATAAGACCGGAATGTATTTCGACCTAAAAATTAATAACCGTGACTTATTAGTTTAAGGGCGAAAGAGGAGAGTTGAAGAATAAGGCCTATCATACGAATTCCTTTAGTGTTCACGCATG